ATGCACTGACTCCAGCCTCAGTCCACTCCTTGTGAAAGTCCCCAACACTTTTGAATGGCCTTTTCCTGACAATCCTCTCCAGGCTGCGGTCATCCCTGCTGCTTGTGCACCTTTTTCTTCCACACTTTTCCCTTCCACATAACTTTCTATTAATGTGCTTTGATACAGCACTTTGGGAACATCCAACTTCTTTTGCAATTACCTTTTGAGGCTTTCCCTCCTTATGGAGGGTGTCAATGATGGTTTTCTGCACAACTGTAAGGTCAGCAGTCTTTCCCATGATTGTGATTCCTACTGAACCAGACTGAGAGACCATTTAAAGGCTCAGGAACCCTTTGCAGGTGTTATGGCTTAATTAGCTGATTAGAGTGGGGACACTTTGAGCCTAGAATATTGCACCTTTTCACAATATTCTAACTTTCTGAGATTGTGGATTTGGGGTTCTTGGGGTTTTCATGAGCTGTAAGCCATAATCATCACAATTATGACAAATCACGGCTTGAATTATCTTGCTTTGCATGTAATGAGTCTATCTCATATATTAGTTTCACCTTTTAAGTTGCATTAGTGAAATAAATGAACTTTGCACGATATTCTAATTATTCGAGTTTCACCTGTATTTAGTGTATTGCACATGCACCTATTTGATACATTGCACATGCACCTATTTAGTGTATTGGACATGCACCTATTTAGTGTATTGGACATGCACCTATTTAGTGTATTGCACATGCACCTATTTAGGGTATTGCACATGCACCTACTTGGTGCACATTAATGTGCTTTCGCTAGTCACCAACTTGCAACAAGCATGACAGATATAAGTTTTAAGACTTCACTGGCTACACACTTGTTCCCAGACAGCAATTTACTACTAGCTTAAATTTAGGATTGCAGCCCTCGAACCTGCACCTTTTAAATACAAGTCACAAACATCAGCTTCCATATTTCTATTATTATAGGTTCACTTTAGGTTATTTTCAGCTTTTTGGAAGGTAAAAGTAGCCTGTGACCAATGGACAAAAATAGTTGAAGACAAATTATTTTGAGACAACAGACAGACCAATTAGCTTTGAGGGATAGTTGGCCTCAAATATAGGAGTCTATATTGCCCATGGCAAACAAACAAATTCTTAACAGTCCAATTGCAAGACTGAAAGTTACAGGCATGACTCCCAGATGCAGGGACATGTTGGGATTTGTAGTTTCACCACAGCTGGAGAGACGGAGTTGTCTAGAACAACAACCATCCACAATGAACAGGCGATCATGGACTCATAAGGGTCCCTGTCACCAGAACAAATGACAATGCTGTTAAAGGGGATTTTACAAGTGACAACGGCACTCTGTACATATATGAGGAGCTCTCACTTTTATACACATGTATAGTAAACTTCACAGTCTATAGAAAGTTGCTGTCTTGCACACAACAGAAGATAGCACAACATTATCACTCTGCTGGGTGTTATTTACTAAGGCGGTTCAAAGAGCAATCATGTCATGTAGATTCCAGTAACCCACGCAGCAGGAGTGGAAGAGGACTCTGGAATTCAGGAGCCAATCCATCCAACCTAAGAGCCAACAGGCACGTTTAAAGAGAACCGGTTATGTTCTCACTACCCTGATGAGTACAAAGCGCCTAGTGTGCAATGCTCCTGCAAAGTCCAATCTGGATTCATGACTTGCTCTGGCCATAAGAGGGCGGCATTTGTGCAAATGAGGCTGACTTCAAGTACGCTGCTTCTCAAGCTGGCTTCACTGGCAATGGCCTCATCTTCCTGGAAGAAGCATAGGATAAATAGATTGGCTACACAGGGCCTCAGGTGACATCTCATGGGGGGGCGGCCACAAAGTCACAGGTTGCTAAGCTCATAGCAACTTGTGACACACTGCCCAAGATCCCCGCCCAGCTCAGTGCCGTAATCGGTTGCCAGGGAGCCGAGCGGGACACTGGCCAGTGTCCCGTTCAGCTCTCTGGCAACTGATGATGTCAGTGAGCTGGGCCGGACCAGACAGAGAGCCGCTGACAGCACGGCTCTAACACAGCGTCCCGTCCCACCTTCCTGGGATGACTGCTATCAGCAAAGCCGAAAAGGGAAGCACTATCAGCAGCACCCCATTCAGCCCCCACTGTACGGCCTCAGGTGTTGTACAGGGTAGGGAAGGCCCTGTGGCTACCTGCAGATAAGTCTCCCACAGGAGGCAAAGTGGAACACAGACATGGAGCTTTGCCAAAGTACCAGTGTGCTAGGTGCTGTGTGTTTACAGCTTAGTGAGAATGTGACCGGTTCTCTTTAAGAAGCCAACCTACCTCTTTATCAAAGCATATGTCCAGCTAAAATATATATATTTTTTTAAGTTTTGGGTTTTTCACTGTTATCTGGGGCTTCGTTAGAGAGATTTTCCATCACTTTTTGTCTCGGTGCGAACACTACAGATCAAGATGGCGGCCAAGTACGTCCTACAAAAATTGCTAGGTCTTAGATATAGCAGACGTGCACATGTAGCCTTATCAAAGCAGTACAGATGGATATAAAGCAACCCAGAACAGCCAATCAGAAATCATCTCCTGCAACACAACTCCACTAAAAGCAGTTTGCTTCTAAACTGACTGCTTAGTGCTATTAGGACCTAAACATCATTTATAGACCTCCCAATGCCTTAAACATCCAAGCACATGTCAAAACCCAAACATATGTGTGGCCACCTCTCATTATGGTCAAAGCCATGAGCCAAGAAAAGCAAATTTCAGAAATACATCAGCAAAAATCTTCATTAATAAAGTTAAGAAAGAATAATTTTCTTTGATTATATATATATATATATCTATATATATCTATATATATCTATATATATATATAGAT